CAGGCAGAGAGATGGCGTTGAGCCCACCTTGACAACAGAACAGCCACCAAAGCCACCAGCAGACCAACCCCCCACCTCCACCACCTTCCCAACACCTCAGCTTCTGCACAGTACGCTCTTAAAGACTCTGCTTTTCTCTCCCTGCAGCTCAGCCTCCGGACTCACCGGACTTTGGGAGCCCAGGGCAGCCCCTTGGGGCAGGTGATGCGGTCGCTGGGGGGATGCTGGGTGGGTGGAGGCATCACCTCATCACGTTCAAGGGGGAAGGTCTCTCCCTCCAAGCTGTTGTCGTCATCATTTTCTTCCTCTTCCTCACGGGAGTCGTCAGCTTTGTACGGGTCCCTCTCGTTAAAGGCATCCAGGTTATCCTGCTTAATCAGGGCCTGGAGAGAGCAGGGCAGGAAGGTGGGTTCTGTTCCATGCAGATGAATACCCCAGGTACAGGCTGCTCCAAGATGACATCCTGAGCCCATCTGGGCCCTGTCCCCAGCTCTGCCCTCACCTTGTGCTCCCGCCGGCCTCGCTTCTGCTGCTGCTCAATCAGGTCAGACGCTGACGCTGGTGGGGACGCAGCTCTCATGTTGCGGATGACTTTAATGCTGTCCTCTGGGAGTGGTGGGAGGCCCAGGACCTCCCTCTTCTCTGCCTTCATGCTCTGGAGCTCCTCAAAGCCCCCCAGGGTGCACTGCAAGGGACACAAGGGCACCGTGAAGGTGGGAATCCTCTGCACGTGGCACTACAGGACTCTGCCCCCAGTCCTCTCTCTGTGAGTCCCAAATGCTTTCCCATGGTGTGAAACAAGATCTGTCCGTCCCCATGTCCCTGTCAGGCATCTGCCAATGAGGCGTCTGGATCTTCTCCTTTGGACCCCAACTGGGGAATTTACTCTGGTCCACCCTTGGAAGCCAGTTCCAGAGACCAATACATGATGCTCCGCTACAGGGTGAAATCTGGGAAGTTTCTGTTCACACACAGATAGATGCCATGAATTTGAGAGCGGAGCAATGACAGGCAGCTGTGAGTGGGCAGGATTTCCTCTGCTAAAGGTAGAACTGCAAGACACGCACCGGCCCAGCCCACGTCCTCTCCCTTACCAGCACAGTCTTCCAGAGCAAAAGCAGCACCTTCTTCATGGGGAAGTGTGGAGCGTGGCCACTGCAGAATTTGGTCACCATCCCAAAGAGCATGACAGAAAAGGGCTCGTTGTTGTACAGAGGGGCTCCTGGAACCAAACAGCAGGGAGAGCCAGTCCTCACCCCGCTGCACATCAGACAGTGGCTCCCACAGCCCCACCAGGCTCTCACCCCCACCTCTGAGGTCTTCATCTCACCCCAGGCAGTTCCCTGCTCCCTGCCCTCACCTGCTCCAATGTTCAGCGCTAACAGAAATCAACCCTGAGCTGCCACCCCTGCTACCCGAGGCCCAGAGCCAAAACCCACCTCCCCCACTTCCTCTTCAGCCCTGGGAACCTCCATCCCACCCTCACCCAGCTCTGCTCGGAAGGTCTGGCGCATGCTCTTCCACTCAGCCTTGTCACCCTCAGCCTCCTGCCGGACCGTCTCCACGATCAGATACATGATGTTCAGCAGCACCCTGCCCACAAAAGAAGATCGGGCTGAAAACCAGAGCTCTGGGATGAGCTACAGTGCAATGCTCTGGGGGAAGGTTTGGTCTGCCACAACCACAGCCCGCCTCCTTCACAGAGGGGAACTGGGCCTTGTGCACTGGGGGAAAAAGCGAGCTGACAAACTCTTGTCTCCCCTCTCCTCAATCCCTGACAGCATCTCCTCCTGCAGAGCCCTGCTCCATACCTCAGGTCCGTGCTGTCAGCCAGGGAGATCGCAGGCTTCCTCACCGCACTGCTGCAAGCCGCGCTGTTACTGCCGAGAGAAAACAGCTTCACTGGAGCTCCTGAGGCATTTTAACTCTGCCACCAGCAATGCACGTGTCAGAATCAAAGCCTGGAGTAAACACCACTGCAACAAGTCCCCCGTCAACCAGAGGGGGAACGCAGCTGTTTCATTTGCTGCCAGGCAGCACAGCTCTTGAAGAGCTGCTGCATGGATCTTGCGTGCCACCCGTATCCACCCACAGCAATGCAAGACATTCGAGTGGCTGCTGGAATCAGAACGGGAACAGAGCAGAAACGAGGCAGGGGACACAGCTGCCACCAACTGGAAGAATCTTTGCCCAGAGCAGAGCTTCAGAGCAGCTCCTGAAGCAGCTGCTCCCACCACTCACTCAATCTCCATGTTCAGCAGCTCCACCAGCGCGTTGAACGTCCCCACTTCCAGCAGCAGGAAGATGTTGTACCTCATCCAGGCCTGCACTTCAGCCTCGGAGCCACACTCCCCAAATGTGCCTGCAACGACACCCTGAGTGGATCCCAAAGCCCTCCTGCGCAGCCAGCACGCTTTGCACAGGGACAGAAAATGACAGCTTGGATGCTAAGGCAGGAGGTCAGATGCAAAGGACAGAACTGCCCTCGTGCTGGCAGCGAAGCCCCAGTCTGTCCATTGCAGACTGCTCAGTTCTGAACAAACTCAGTTCCTCTGACAACTAGTTTAGCTACAAGGTGAAACGCAAGATTCGTCACCCACGTTTAGCAGCAAGGCAAAGGCCTCCAGCCCAACATCACGACGTACCTTGGGCAACATAGAGGATTGCTCGGGCAACCCTCAGCCTCTTCTCTCGTGCTGTCACCTCCAGCCCGTCCAGCAGCCGCATGGCGTGAGTGCGGTGCTGCTTCTTGTCCAGCTCTGTCCACTTCTTGTCCCGCACTGCAAAGCCAAAGCAGCGGGGCTGAAGGCATGCAGCCCCTCTGCCCGTGTTCTGGGTACAAACATCGCATGAAAAGCTCAGAAGGATTTGATATGATGGAACACAGGGCTGCTCCAGCAAGAAAGGACGTCCTGAGAACAGCAGGTAGGCACGTGGGATCGGGGCAGAAGGGCTGCATGCTGCCTCTCATCACACAACCAGACAAATCCCAGCTAGCCAGACCGGTGCTGGCAGCTGATGGGAAATGAGTTGGATGCTCTTGCTGCTGCCAGCGCGTTCCAGCACAGCCATGGAAGCTCTCAGTCACTAACACAGCAAACGCTGAGCACTCTGGACGTAGCAAACTGCACTCCAGGGCCAGCCCACGTACATAAGGAGACCTCCAACACAAACCAACACCACCGCTGCCTTCACAATCTGACGCAGCATCAGCACATCCAGCCCTGTGGGTGCCCCAGGAGACCCCCAGCTCCAAGGGAAGGGTCTCACCGTGGATCCTGAAGTCCTCCTCAAAGCACTTGCGGTTGAGCAGGAACTCCGGGCCCTCCGTGTAGCTGTACAGCTCTGCCAAAAGAACGCAGAGGAGAATCACCGCACTGCCAGGTAATGCTGCGACCCGCAGAGCTTAACTGCTGCTCAACGCCAGACGAGGGGAATGCAAAAAGTACGGCCAGCACACGGCAAAGAAACGCTCGCTATACAGCGCTGCACCTCTTCTAACATGAACGAGGTATTTAAAGACAACACAGCGACACTGGAGGCAACAGAACTCCTTCAGTCATCACCAGGGAAAAGGAATCACGGCTGTTGAATTGATCCGTGAGGAGCGGCCTCTTACCAGACAGCTCTGCTGCCCACTTGTCGGTGTCTGCATACTCAAACTCCAGGTCTGGGGACTCCGAGAAGCCCTGAGAGCAGAAAATTCAGCTCAATTACAGCTCGTTTCCCAAGGAAACCCCGACTCTCGGCCGTCCGCCCGGTCCTCCCTTTAGGAATCCAAACATTCACCCGCAGCACCGCCGGCGTTACCAAGGCAACCGCCGGAGCCGCATTGGGCTGCAGGCACCGCCCCCGGGAGCCCCGGAACGGCGCAAGGGGGGATGGAGGGCGGGAGCCGCGGGGAGCGGGGCGCTGCGGGCCAGACGGGGGCACAGCGCGGCCCGGCCAACCCCGACCGCGGCTCCCCAGGACAGAACGGAACGGATCGCTACGGAACCGGGCCAGGCGTGGCGCGGCTCAGCGCGGGGCGCACCGGACCGAGCGGAACCGGAACCGGAACCGACCCGCGCGGGACCGGAACCGGTCCGGCTTACGCTCCGCCCCTCCCGGGAAGGCCTCCGCCCGCCCCCCCGCGGAGCCGGGCCCGGTTTTGGCGTTGGCGGCGCTGACCTCGGAGTCTTTCCGCGGAGGACGGCCCAAATCGCGGCCCTTCCCGGGAGGCGCCGCCCCGCCTCGGGCCTTGTTGTTGGCCGGGAGCGGCCCCGCGCCGCCGCCGCCGCCCGGCTCCATGTCTCCGCCGCGCACGCCGAGCTCTCGCGAGGACTCACCCCTCCTTCTCGCGGGAGCGGCAGGGAGAGCCGGGGCAGCGCCGCCGCCATGTTGGGAGTGGCGCCGAGCTCCGGCCGCTCTCCTGCCTGCGCCATGGCTCCTCCCGCCGGACCCACCGTTCCGCCGCGGCGGCCGCGTCACCGCCCAGCGCCGCCCGCCCCCGGCGGCCACGTCCGGCGCGGCGCCCGACCGGTGGTTAAGCTCCGCCCCCCCCGCCGCCATGATAGGTGCGGCGCGGCGCTGAGCCATGCTGAGAGAGGCACTTCCGGCCTCGCGCGCCGCGGCTGCTGGGGGCCGCCATGGTGGGAGTGGCAGAAAGGAGGGGAGAGGTGGGAGCAAAGCTCCAAAGAAAGGGGCTCGGAGCCCAAAACGAGGGGCTGGAGTGACATGACGTGGCCCTGGAACACGTGAGCCCTCAAACCAAGGGGCTGGGAGGAGCTCAGACCGCAGGTAGGGGGAGCTGGCAGGGAGCAGATCCCAACACAGGGGCCCAGCGGAGCACATAAGCCAGACCCAGAGGGGAACAAACCCCAACTCTGAATGTACGAGGATCCAACCCCAACTGCAGGGCGTGGAGGAGCTGGGGCAGGGGGGGCTGGCAGGGCCCAAACAGCCCCCCGAGGTGCCCCAAACCCCCCAAGGGCTGCAACCACTCACCCACAGCAAAAGCGTTCTGTTTTTCCTAATAGTTTTCATTAGACTTTAATGATTTATTGCTCATCTGCAAGGATTAATATTGCATTCATTAAAAATCATTCATATACAAAATAAACCTCTCTCCCTCCCAGCCCGACGCTGCCGCCACCCCTGGACATGGCTTAGATGGAGCTGCAGCCCTCAGCCTGGGTGCTGCAACCCACCCGGGGTGGGAAAGGCTCCCAGCCCACGGCCCCCAGGAGGGCTGAGGGATGGCAGAGGGGCCACACGTGTCAGGCAAGCGCTCCCCAAGAGGGACAGAGAAGGAGCAGAGGGCACAGGAGGGTGAGCCGAGCTGCGCCATCCCTCCTCACATCATCCTCCAGCCCCCAGCGAGGGAAAAGCAGCGTTGCAGCCATGCCCAGAGCCACAGGAGCATCTCCCAGCCCTGGGATGGGTGGCTGCAGGCAGCCGAGCAGCTCTCTGGGGGCACCACGTGCCCGTTTATCTCTAACGGGTGATGTGGTGGGGGAACAAGCGAATCCCTCCCTGCTCCGGCCTTTGCTGGGGAAAGAAAAAGGCATTGGGAGAGGGAAAAAAGCCAGGAGGAGCCTCACTGGGTTGCAAGGGCTTTCCCCCAACCCGTGACAAGCTGCAAGAGATGGAGAAGAGAAATACTTGTCACCAGAGAGGATGGGGAAGGGAAGAAGGAGGCGATGAGAGTGGCTGGAACACTGCGGGATGCTGCTGAGGAAGCTCAGCTCGGGGGCGAGCAGCGAGGGGAGCCCAGGGTGCAGGGGCCCACTGGGGCACGGGGAAGGCTCAGTCTGTGCATCCGCCTTGGAAAGAAAGTGAAATGCCCTCCAGAAAAATGCAGACACTCTTAACAGCACCCGCCGTGTCCTGCTGGGAGATGGGGCTGATTGGATAGAGCCCAAACTCCACGGCCGGACACATCGCCCCTCTTTAAGGAGCAAAACCAAAAGGAAAAAGAGGAAAAGAAAGAAAGAAACAAAGATATGTTTTCAACTCAAATTAAGGTGCAGTTTGGCTAGAAAACAAAACAAAACAAAAAACAACTAAGAGAGATGAGGATGATGCTGGGTTAAGTGACCCCCATCCGAATTCAGATTAGCACCCTGAAACAGTGAGCTCCCCAGAGCCGGCCAGCAACCGAACGGGGGACGTCGGCCAGGTGGGACGGTCACCTATTCGCGAGGTGGCCAGCAGGTGCCACTCTGCTCCCGAGCAGAGCGAGGAGCATTGAACTAGCAGCTAAAACTGGGCTCTTTAAGGCAATTTAGAAGTTGCAGATAATCCACACAAAGAAAGAAAACGTTAAGGTAATTGAAGAGCATCTCCGGGTCTGCAGATAATCTCGGAGAAGGTTAAAAAAAAAACAAAGACAAATTGCCCTTCACACAGCAGGAGAGCGAATCAGGCTGGGAGCCACCAGCGGCCTCAGCCACATGGAAGCAGGGAGATCCCAGGCTCTGTGCTGAGACCACAGAGATGCGACCACATAGGAGGGTGAAAATGAGAAGGAAAAAACAGAAGCGACCTTAAAATCACACCGGTCAATGTAAAAACAGGGTTCCTTGTTGGTTAAAAGAAGAAAAAAAAAAAAAATGAACCAAAATGAAATGATCTTTAAAAATAATCTCCCTAATGTTGCCTTGTGTGGTCTGGTCCTTCATAGGTATGGTCCGTCAGTATCTGGAAGAGAAGGGATGGGACAGTGAGGCTGAGGGACGCAGCTCCCACCTGCACAAGAGTGACTGAGCCTCCAAAGGCGCCGACCTGTAGTAGTTGGGTTTGAAAGGCCCGTTTTTGTTGAGTCCCAGGTATTTCGCCTGATCGTCCGTCAGCTCCGTCAGGTGGGCGTCGAAGGAAGGCAGGTGCAAGCTGGCAACGTATTCATCTGGGGAACAGCAGAGGGAAGGGGACTCAGCACACAGCAGGAGGGGGGGGCCTGAGAGGCTGTCCTGGCCCTCTGCACCTGATGGAGCCCTGCGACCCAAAAGGTGGATGGAAACCCTGCAGGGTGAGGGACGCCCGCAGCACTGCAGAACGGAAAGACCTGCGGGCGTTTTGGGGTCACCCTCCCCAAACTCATCCCCTCCCATCGGAGGTTTTGTTCAGCCCACCTCACGCTTCGTCCTTACATCCAAAACCTCTGCCCCGTATCAACCAGTGCAAGAAGCAGCTCGGAGAGGCAGCTCCTTCACTCACCCATCTTCTTGGGCAGCAGGTACACGTCCTGTTTGTAGCGGCCCTCGGGAGCGTTGTACAGCTCAATCAGAGCCAGAGCCTGCAGACATCACAGCAGGGTGAGGGACAGCCGGGACACACAGCACAAAGCTCCCGCGGATGGAGGTAAGGATTTGGAAGCCCAAGAGAGGGGTGAGCACTTCCCAAATGCCCCCAAGGATGCACTTCCAGCCCTTTCCACCTCTCAGGAGCCTGCTGGCACAGGGGAGGACTGCAGGGGTTGGAGATGAGTCGTCAGCTGCCCTGGTGGCAGCACTGGGGAAAACCACAGAGTGAGAGTGAAGGAAAGGGGAGCAGCTCTAATTCTAAGCCCGAAATGTGAGGCTGCTGCACCACGTGGGAACGGACTGCTTGCTCTGAGCTGGCAGCAGAGCTCCAAAACCCACAGCCTCTCCCTCAGCAGGAATAAAACTGCATCTCCCCCAAGCGCCAGCTCAGACAGCTGAGAGCCAGATCCGAAACACAGCTCCCATCCCTATCAGTCTGCACAGCGAGGAAAAGAAAACCTCCCCCCCCCCCAACCAACGTGGGCGCCCTCCCCTCCTTCACAGAGGTGGGCTCAGCCCTGCAGTTTCCTCCCACCCATGGCACTGCAGCCAATGCTGAGCACACATCGCACGGCTCGGCCAGATTTAATCATCTTTTTTCTTTGAAAAGGTGGAGTCGGGGCAAACAGAGCAGGGCTCAGCCGTGTCCGCCCAGCTGAGGCAGTGCTGATGCTCAAAAGCAGTTTAACCACTGACTCCCAGCTCCCCAAAACTCACTCTTGTTGTTGTGACTTGGAAATCAGTCGTCTCAAGATGGAACAAGGCCTGGCTTTGAAGTAAGCTTAAACCTGCGCTCAGGAAGCTCTCTGCTTGCTTACTGCACAGCAGGAACTGTCAGAGCAAAGCCAGGCTCATTTAAAAGCTCCCTCCCAACTTCACACCATCGTTAACCACAGCCCAGCCAAGAGGTGGCGGCTCCGTCTGGCGCCAGCGATCCCAAGCATCCAACTGTGTGTTCCCTGCTTCTTCCAAAACATCCCCACCCCAAAGCTTGTGCAAGACCCTGCAGCATCCCAACCCCCCCCCCAGGCTACGGACCTGAGTGGTGGCTGTGATAGAGAGGACGAAAGTGGGAACCGTGGAGCAGCTCAGGTTGAGAAGACGGCCCTAAAGACAGCAGGAGAGGGGTGCTGAGAGCTGAGCGTGTGGAACAAATCGAATCTGGAGACAGGACTCACCTCTGTCTCTCTGTCCCTCCCGGGGGCTGGGGACAACCACAGGGCAGTGATTCAAGAGCTATCCACAGGACCAGAGCGTCCACACTCTGCCTTAGCTTAGTTTCCACCCCACCCCTCAGCTTTGGGGAATGGAGATTCTGTGGTTGCTAGGAACTGGGAGTCTCTCCTGCTGCTCCAGGAGTGGGAAGAGGAGACAACCAACCCCCCGTTTGCCAGGTGGGAAACCCTGTAAAAGCAAGATGCACAGGGTGTTTGGCTGACAGGGGTGGCACCTCTGTGGCTGCACGTGGGACGTGACACCTCCTCTGCCTCAAGGATAATAATAATAAAAAGCCATCGAGAAACCCCTTTGCTGAGCTCTCCCAGGGGCACCTCCCTTTCCAATTCTGACCCTGAGAGATTTCCTGGTGGACGCACAGCTCCCAGCACACCTCAGCCAGCAGCACCACCCGCTTCCCATCCGGCCAGATGACGTGGTCCACTTGGGATCGGACCCGCTCCCAGGTCAGCTCGGGGGTCCGGAGGCTGGTCTGCAGGCAGGATGGAGAGGCTGGAATCACCAAGGGGCGACCACAGGGCAGCAGGGGCAGCAGGGGCAGCAGGGGCAGCAGGGGCAGCAGGG